TCCCCTATGACCCAGCAATAGCACTGCTAGGAATTTACCCAAGGGATCCAGGAGTGCTGAGGCATAGGAGCACATGGACCCCAATGTTCATAGCAGCACTCTCAACAATAGCCAAAACATGGAAAGAGCCTAAGTGTCCATCAATGGACAAATGGATCAAGAAGATGTGGTTCATCTATGCAATGCAATACTACATGACAATGAGAAAGAATGAAATCTGGCCATGTGTAGCAACATGGATGGACCTTGAGGGTGTTATGCTGAGCAAAATAAGTCAGGCTTATCTGCTGACAGCTACCATATGTTTGCACGTATAGGAGGATTAGGGGGAACTTAATAGAGGACCGTTGGGGAGAAGAAGGGGAGAAATAGGGGGAGAGAGGGAGGGAGGCAAACCATGAGAGACTCTTGAATGCTGAGAACAAACTGAGGACTGAAGGGTATGGCGGGGAGGGGAAGGAGGGTGATGGGCATGGAGGAGGGCACTTGTGGGGATGAGCACTGGGTATTATATGGAAACCAACTTGACAATAAGCTATTTAAAAAAATAAATAGATAAAATTTTTAAAAATAAGATAAAATAAAATAAATAACTGCAGAATAACCTGAAGAAACTCAGAGGTCAAAGGCAGAAGAGAGATTTAAGGGTCATACACCAATAAAGAGTAATTGAAGCTACAAAAATTATCTCAGAATAAATATGTGAAGAAAAAGTCGAACCAACAACTACTCCTAGGGCAGCATTGGATATTAAGTGGTAACAAAAAGGACAAATATAAAATATACAGAAAATACAGTCAGAAAGGCAGAAAGTGTCATAGCCTCCAGGACACTAAAAAAGAAAAATTTGAAAGTAGTAGTGAGATAATATTTTTCTCAAGAGAAAAGAGAACTAAGAGATATCAACAAACAAAAACACACACACAAAAAACAAAAACCAGGGACCATGGAGAGAGCTGTTACAATAGCACTGTGAAGACAGGGACCAAAAGAAGTTTGTTAAATTTCAACAGATACTTAATGAGTGCTTACTGGGTTTAAGGAAGGAAACAGTCTGGAATCAGCAATGGGTACACACTAAAAGTTGTAGGAGTTAAGATATAAAAGGGAAGGAAACAAAGTCTATACTTTATAATTGTCATATAAATGAATTCTTACCAGAAGATGATAAAGAAGATTCATCTTGTGCAATTTGAGTCTACAAGCAACATAAAATATATGGGAAAATTCAAGTTGGCCTCTAGTCCTGGTTATCCCATTAATAAATACATATTAGGAAACAAGAGAAATAATATGTTTCTAAAACATTGTTATTAGTTTTTGTAATCTGGTTTAAAATTGTAATACAAAATAACGAATTACAAGGGTACTTGCTGTTTATAACAGGCTATCTGGAAAACATAGCATATTATTTTAAATGGGTAAATAATTCTTATAGGATTACTTGATGTTTAGTAGAAGGCCTCTTGCTGATAAGATCAAGAGAACTGATAAGATCAAGGTTATGACCAGAGCAAAATTATCTGTAGTCTAATATGTTTATTAAAGTAATTGGATCTGGATTAACACTCAGAACAAAGTCCAGGCTTCTTGCACACTGCTCTGCCTATTCCAGCATATTTTCCTCCTAAAACACCGCAGACTACTTCTTCCTACTAATCCCCCTTCTGCCTCCTCCTTCTCTTTAATTGAATAAATACAACAGAGTATCACTAATCTGAACCTTGGTTTATATGCCATTATTGCAAACAACTTATGCTATTATTGATGCAATGTTACACTAACAGTAATGAGTTTCTGGTGTAACATTGCTTACAAAATGGCATTCTGTCCTCATTACTATCTTATAACAATAGTCTTCACAAAATTAAATTCTGCAGATTTACTGACTGTCAAAATAGAAGTTATCATCAAGTGACAGGAGTAAGAGCCTATGGAAGCATTCAGTATGGTAACATGTGCATTAGGACAAGTGTGTGAAGGAGAGGAAATAACTACTATGCTTTATCAATTGATGTGGCATTATTAGTTACATAAATTTTATCCAACTTAATTGTTTGAGAATCCAGAATTTCCAAGCACTTTAATAAATATACTAGATTACATCTAATTTTTCTCTGGCCACAATATCAACTCAATATTGATGGAGCTCTAGAACATAGCTGAATTTACGAGTTGTTTTCCAGGAATGAAATAATGACATCAAGGCCATAATTCAAGAGCAGTTTTGTTAAATGCATTAAATTAGACTGTGGCATCCATGGAAAGGAAGTGACTATATGAAATGACTCAGAATATGTAATTTTATATTGCAGTTAAAATGTTTGTCTTCGTCAATATGGGTAAGTTTCGCCATCTATATTAAAGAGACGGCATTAAAATTCAGATTTCACAGGCAAGTGTGTTCCTTTTGCTCAGTAGACTCTCATCAACATTTACCTTCTGCTCTCCTCTACTCACACCTACATCGGCCATCTAGTCTATAACTCAGGGCTTTAAGATGTTTTGTACTTTTTAATTACAACGAACAGTTGTAGCCTCATTTCAATAGTTCTGTACATTGAATGTGACAATTAGGGAAACTACTGGACGAATGTGACCCCAGGGTGACTAACCTGCTAGGAAAGCCAGTCTTCTTTCATACAATCAAAATTGTGTTAACTTACTTTCACTGGATAGTTTTTGGTACTTCAGCCTGAGTCTATAGTTTTCATTTTCTTCAAGCATTCTAGAAATGACTTTGTATACTTTATTCCATACTAAATCCTTAAAAATATAAGCACAGTTAAGGAATAATGAGCAGAGAAGTGGAAACATGTTTTGACAGAGGCATCTGGTAGTGACTGAACTGTACTGTACCTCAGCTGATACCACGCTAAAGTACTACTAGCACTTAGAGACTTAAAATGTAAACGTAACCGTTTTCCCATGATCAGGAATCTCTTCTGCTAATTTCCTACCATGTCCTCTCTGTACTATTTAAATGAACTCTCCTGGATGAAGGCAATGCCTATAAAATCCTATCTAAATGGTTCTAACACATTCAATTTTGTTTTCAACAGTTATAAAAATGGTGAATTTCTATTCCACTGGGAAACCAGTTGATTTTTAATGGGCAAGTGTTTTACATCTCACCTAGTAATAACTTCATATATTGGATTATTAGAATTAATGAAAAATATAGGTAAAGCACATTCCCCAGTATCTGGCACATAGTAGTTTTAAGTACATATTCGCCACTGGTCTTTTCTCTCCACCCAAGAAGAACTGGTTCTTGGAAGAAACATTTCATAGTAGAGTGGGAAGATTTGGCGCACACTCAAATCCTATTTAGGGTTAGTCACCTTGAAGGCTATTTTACACTTTACATGGATTATTAACTCATATAAATTCAAAGCTCAGAAACAATACAATTTTATGTGTCATTACCAACGAACAAGGTCTTTAAACTGAAGTGCTTAAGATATATGGTGGAAAACAACGATTTGTAGAATTACTGATTTGAATATGTTTAAAATACTCAAGTTACCATGACATTTGGACAACCAGAGGTAAAAATGGTTCAGGAGTAAAGGTTCATCCTCGTTAGCTTTCCTTCTAGAAACTAAATGTGCCTCCCTTATCTTTAAATGAGCAATGTCATTAATAAAGATACATTATTCTTTTCTGTGAAATCCATAATTTTCTCCATATATTACATTACTTATGAGAGTCCGTTATATTCTGTGGAACATATATTTTCATGCTTTGAAAAATCTCCCATTACATTTTGATTAAAATGTGTTTATATCCTCAAACACTGGGAGGACTGTTTTCTAAGTTAATAAATATTTCCAAACCCAGTTCCATTTCTGCTAAATTAATTCTATTTTATCATTCCAGTTAATTAAATTTTCAAAAGATGGAACTATTTCTACTCTTGAATATCTTCACACATTTGTATTTAGAGAAGTTAATCTAAAATTCAAATACTGCTCATTCTCCTAATAGCATACCTTTTTCTTTTTCTTCATTACTTTCGAAGTTTCATCCAAAGGTATAGGGAAATCAAACTGTTTAGCTAAATTCTTCCGGGTTAAACCTAATTTAAAAAAGAGAGAGAGAGAGTGAAAAGATGAAATATCAAGGCCAGCACATATTTTAAAGGATTCACTATCCTGAGAACAAAGACAATTATAAATGACTCTTGAGTTTCTCTTGGGAATTTTTACACTTGTTGGTATATTTCTGATTCTAGACGGTACCAGTTTACCAATTACCTAATAATATGCTGGGGGAGAAAACCAAGAAAACTCGACACAAACTTCTTAGAAATGCCCAGGAAATCTCCTTTCTTTTCTGATTTGAAAGACGAGTCCCCAAAAAAGTCAGCAACAAAATAAACAGATACCAGAGGCCACTTCTTAACCCAACACATCTCCACAATCTCCTATCTTCTCCATTCAACTCCAGACACACATTGTGCTTTCAACTATTCAAAATGCCTGTGGTTCTTCAAATGTCTTGCTCTTATCCCTCCTAGCCTTTGCACATGCTGTCTTATCTGGTTCTGTGTGCATGCATGTGTGTGAACACACACACACGTGCGTGCCTGCAAGGCAAATTTCTACCTGTCTAGAAGACAGAAAATTTCTACCTAGTCTTCAAGACTCAGGTCACACCGTCACCTCCTCTCTACAGTCTCCCACACAGCACTGGCTCTAGGGACGCTTAGGTGACAGCCCTCAGCACACTTTGATATCACATGTTTATAAGGTGTTCCCTCCACTAGGCCGTGACCTCCCCGAGGTCTTAGTCATCTTTCTAGCCACACTACTAGACACAGAGTAGGTACTAATAAAGGTTTGTCAAGAATTAATAAGCTTCCCCTCTCTACCCACCAAGCCATGCTGCCTTCCCAAATATTAACTGTGAGAAGAAAACCCAAGAGCTTGTGTGTCCAAAGACAAAATCATAAAACGCTAAGCATGTGTTCTCTGAAAGCCTTTATATTCCCCAACCTGAACACTTATCTGCCATAATACCACCCTACCACCACCACTCTATACCTGGCTTTCTTCCACTCACTCAATATTTAGCTTTCCATGAACCTTCTCTGATTTCACAAAGCACACTGTGCTCAGTAATCATAAGGTTTGCCATGTTGTTTACTTGAGGAGTCTGTTTTATTCTTTATTAGCGATCCAGTATCTAATGCCGTACACATTAGAAATGCCAGAGGTATTCCACTAGAGTATTAGAATAGGAGTTATGTTCTAAAATGGCATTTCCCAATTTCTGAGAAGCACACTACTAATTCTGCTTGTGGAGCACACACACAGCACTAAAGAACATTAACTCACATGGTGAGAAATTCATTCTCTCCCATTCTTTTTAGATCTGATTACATCAAGGGTAAAGTCTGAGTATATCATTAAGACTTCCCTGAGACTTGCTTCTCTCTCTTTATGACCAAAGACAACCTTTATTAGACAAGCTATTTGGCTAGAATTTAATAACAGTGTTATGCCTTTATTAGATTGTTTTTAATTAATTTCTATTTGCGGCAAATGGTACAGGCTTGCCACTGAGGTAATGATGTAAAGTGTTCTAAAAAGAAATTTACTTGGGAGGGAAAAAAATGCACATGTTAAATAAATATATTAAGTAAATGATAGTATGGATGATATGCAGATATGGCATAGGAAAAGAACTCAAATCTGGGAATATCTGTTCTTCATTTACCCATATGGACCCTTCTCCCTAAATGCCTAAGCCTTCGGAATATTATACTTGCATCACTCCAAATATTTTCCATTTGTAAGCCTTTCTTAACCTAGACATTACTCCCTGAGGTCAGGATAGGAGCCATCAAGTTTACCTGCAATTTTGGGGGATCTAAAACATGTCGGGGGCGGGGTGGCGTTGGGTGGCTCAGTCAGTTAAGCATCGGACTTCGGCTCAGGTCATGATCTCACAGTTCCTGAGTTCGAGCCCCGTGTCGGGCTCTGTGCTGACACCTCAGAGCCTGGAGCCTCCTTCAGATTCTATGTCTCCCCCTCTCTCTGCTCCTCCCATGCTCATGCTCTGTCTCTCTCTGTCTCTCAATAATAAATAAACATTAAGAAGTTAAAAAATAAAAGCTAGTTCTTAGTGTGACTGAGGAACTAAATTTAAAACATGTCAGGGAGTATAGGGAATTAGAAAAAGAACAAAGACAAAATCATTTCCTCTACTCGTTTTGCACACCTCACTGAAGGTAGCTCCAGTACATATCAAAGACTGTCCCAACTCATGTTTCCAGTCTTTCTCTGCCCTTCTCTCTGCACACTGTTTCCATACACTTGAAAAACACTTCTAGTTCGTCCCTAATCACTCTCCATCACGGATCCAAACCCAGGGTTACGCACACACATTTTCCCCACATATCATTCATTCCTAGCTCAGCAACACGCGTGACTCTTCTTGTAGCGTTTCTGCCACCGTGAAGCCTTCCCTAATTCTCTCATCCTTGAAGTGCTCAGCGCTCCCAAAGCATTTATTCGTACCTCTACAATCATCCTCTATTACATATAAATTAGGACAATATCTCCCAAGTGCTGTGAGAACTGATATATTTAAGTCTTGCTTGAAATGTTAGAAGGGTTTCCTGATTTGCCTGTCCCTGGGTTTCTAAACTCCGCTACATCTTACAAACAGAAGAAAGATAAACTTGCTTATCTTCCAGAAGTGTAGCTGTCTCTGATCGCTTCACTCCACCGCTCAAAAATCTTCAGTGACTATAAAATGACGGTCTCCAAGACATTCCACAATATGGTCCAAAACCTACGTTTCATTTGTTCAATAAATATTTAGTGCGTCTCCACTATAAATAACCACTCCACTGGAATAACCACCCCCTGCCCTTCAAGCCATCTCCATTCAGTATGCCAACATTCACTGGTCACTTATTCCATATCAGACACCGTGCTGGGCCCTATGCATACATTACATACTTCATTTAGTCTTTACAGTAACTTGCTAAGGTAGGAACTCTTATCCCCATTTTACATCTGAGGAAACTGAGGATCAGAGTGGTTAGCTAACCTGGCCAATATTACACTGCAAATAAATGACAGAGCCAGGATTATGTCTTTCTGGCTTCAAAACCAATGCTCTTGATAATCTCTACCATCCCACTAGAAATTTCTCCATTCATGTCCCTTGATTTCCTGCCTTTATGCCTCTCCTTTCCCTAAACTATCAAACCCTTTTGACGGTGTCCATCTTACAGCATTCATGTCTACTAGCTTATATTCACATTATTGATTTAAAAGTTCTTAAGGGCAGAACATTTGTCTGATTCATCTATGACATGAGCACCTAATGTAGTGTCCAGTGTGGGAGACGTTCGTTGTTGCTGGACAAATAATTCAGCTAGTTCCCCAAGAAGGGCTAGGCATAAGTATTTAATAAATGTCCCTTTACTATGAATATTAAATACACCCAAAACAGAGTAAAACTGAAGCACTTTCTGGCTTGGTTTAAATATAAATCTATGCCAGGCCCTCTCTCCCTCGACACTATTCCTGGTCGCCCAAGCACAGCAGGGGGCCTGTGGAGTTACCAGCTCCATCCTCTGCCCAGCTGCCTAGCACAGGAACGTCAGAGTTGCCAGCAACCCTTCCTTCTCCATCTTTCAGTCAGTCATCGATCCTGTGCATTCGTGTCCATTGCTCTGCCTCAGGTCAGGCCTTTTATCTTTGCACTGGACCACTGTGCCCCCCAACAGGGCTCTCGTCTCTAGTCTCTCCCAGCCAACCCCATCCTTCCTCCAGATCCGATCATGTCACCCCTGCCACAAAGGAGCAGCAAGAATCCCAAAAGAGAAGCCAACCAGAGGGAAGACTGACACCTGAGGTCTGCACAGTGTAGAGTTACAACAGCACAGCAGTGCTTTCATAATCCCGCCTACCCGGTTACCACTAACCAACATAGGTGACAATCTCCAGCACGAATTCATGTATCCCCTCTTCTCCCCCACGAACTGCCTTATCTGCTTTCAGTGTTCTTCCCTTCCAATCTACTACCTTGATGATGGACTATTTGTCCTCGGATTTGTGGCACGAAAGCAATACAGGCTCTCTATTGAATCCGTTGTATTTTTCCCGGCTTCCCTGCTCTCCACCACCACAACCACCACCACCACCATACTCTTTCTTCCTCCTAGAATAAGCCTTTTATTTATTTTTATTATTCAAAGAAACTAAAACCTAGGGCTACAATGTTTTATACTACCCCTGGATTTTTTAATCCCCAGCAGAGGGCCAGAAAAAAAACAAAAACCTGAGTGCCTTTTAACAAGGAGGCCATCAGAGGGGCTTGAAGTCCAAACTAATAACCCTGCTTAGGTATGTCTGAGGGCTTCCCACCGCAACTCGTTCTCGGGAGTCAATCTCAATCAAGTTACACCGAGTACCATTTTATACATCTAGATTATCAAAGTAAATTTAGTCTGGAAGGATACCAAACAAAATCTTCAACTTGGGCTTCAGTCTTGCCTGCCTCCAATTCAATCTCCCTTATATAGCCAACATGGCCTAAGTGAATCCAGCCTTTGTTCAAAATCACTTCTCTTGTTCAAAAACCTTTTCAGTTTAAGATTTCAGAGTCACTGCAGACAATGGGGAATGGGTGGTAACTGACTTCCCCAAACTTCTCCCCAAACAACTTCACCTTGAAAATTCTACATAAAACCACAGCCTCAGCATTACTTGAAGACAGAGAACACTGAAACTGCAAACTAACTGCAAGTAAAATAAGGAAAATCATTGACTCGCAGAGCTATGATCAGATGTGCTCCTGCCCCACCCCAAGCAGGGCTCCGTGGCCAGCAGGGAAGAGAAAGGAAGGACACTAGAAAAAGTGCTTTCAGGAGAGCTGATGCGACCAACAGAAAGGCTGAATCCACCCTAAATCTGAAAACACTAAAACAAACCCCTATGGATCAGAGCACAAACTGCAGGGAAGGGAGCTCAATGGGCAAGTTGAAGGTCCACACACCACATAAAGTACTAAGCATGCCATTTAATGGGGCTGACTCCATTTAAAAGGGCAAGCATGGTTTAAAGGGTCAGTCTTTCAATTGCATGGCTTCTGGGAGAGAAAAAGAACAAAAAGGAAGGATCACAAATTAGGCCACAAAGAAAAACTCTGTAGTATCCATAAAGTGAAGACCTTACAAACACTCTGACTACAGTCCAATAAAACTAGAGTTTGCTGACAAAAACAAAACAGAAAAGTCCTGGAAATTAAATTTTTTTAAAAATCTTTAATCAGCTCCAGAGTGAGAAGGGTAATACAAACTGAAATTACAGAATGAAAAAAAAAAAAAAAAAAAAACAGTGACAATGAACAATACTGTATAACTATGGGATTTAAAATAGTGGTTTAAAAAATTCATTGCACTAAACATTTTTATTAATAAAAAAAATAAATGAATGAAATGTCCTGTTGAAAATAAGTATAAAAAGGACAAAGTAACCCAAAAGAAAGCACATGTTTCATCTTTATTATCTATCTTCATTTTTTAATGCAGAAGAGACCAGAAAAACAAGATGTCTCGTTAATAAATCAAAATCCTGAGTTTTTTTAAATTAACAAAATGGACAAGACACTGGCTAACTTAATCAAGAACAAGGGAGAAAACACATACATACAGAAAAAAATGACAACTCAGAAATAAGCATGGACATTTTTAAGAAATCGTAAGACACCACTTTGCAGACCTCTATGGAAACAGATTTGGAAACGGATGAAATAGATAATTTCCTAGGAAAATATAGATTAAACATAGGTATATTTATAAATATATAGGTATATCTATCAATATAAATACAGATTAAAGACAGCAATTTCCATAGAAGGTATAAAGAAAGTTGTTAAGGAATTATCCCACAAAAAGCACTAGACCCAGACAGTTTCACAGGAGAATTCTACCAAAACTTCAAACAACACGTAGTCCCACTGTTCTATAAATTATTCCAGAGAATAGAAAAAGAAGGAAAAGTCTGTAATTCCTTTTATGAACTAAGTATAACTCTGATACCTAAACCAGATGAAGACGTACAAAGAAAGAAAAAACACAGATCACTTTCCCTCACGAATACCAGTGCAAAACTCTAAACAAATTATTAGCAAAGTCCAACACTACTTTAAGAAAACAACACATCATAATCAGGTAGGATTTATTTCAGGAATGCAAGGTTGGTTTAATATTAGGAAATCCATTTATATCACATGCCATAGTAATACATCTAAGGGAAAAATATGTTTATCTCCATAGACTTGAGAAAGCTTTTGACAAAAATTCAACACCCATTTAGGATAAAAACACTGAAAAAAAATAAAAGTTGAATAATTTTTAATATTTTAAATATAAATGCCTTTGTCCTAGAGCCAGTACCTTATATAATGGGGAACACTGGAGACATTTCCCCTAAGGTCAAGAATAAGGCAAGGATACACCACAATCTTCACTACTATTCAACACTGAACTTGAGGTATGAGCTGATGCTTATAGTATTATGCATGCAGTAAGATAAAACAGGCAACGTTTTGATAGACGCCGCGCATAAGAATAGGTAAAAAAGAAATGAAATGATCTCTACTTACAAATAATATCATAATATACCTGGACAGTGCTAAAACCTATTCTAACAATAAAAGAATGCAGTGAAGTGCTATGATCTAAAATTAACAAATCAATAGGCTAAGTGAAGGAAGACAATCAGGAAGGCTCATATACTCTGTGACACAATTTATAGGAGATGTCCAGAAAAGCAAATCTATAAAGATAGAAAGTTTAGCACTTGCTTAGGGCTGAGGTTAGGGGTGGGAGAGGGCAATGAGAGGGAACAGGGAGCGTCAAAGGGTACAGGGTACATGCTAATAGGTACAAGGTTCTTTGGGGACAATAGAAATCTTCCAAAACTGAGTGTGGTGATGGTTGTACAACTCTGTGAAAAGCACTGAACTCTGCGCTTTAAATAGGTGAAGTTGAATGAACTGTATCTCAGTAAACTTTCAAAAAAGAAAAACTTTAAAAAGCACAGGCGGATGGATGAGCCCTCCAAAGGGAGGCAGGACTTTTTCGAGAAGGAACTGCTCTCTATCTTAACTGTGGTGGTTTGTCACTAAATCATATAACCGTGTCAAACCTCAAAATGTATATAAATCAATCCTAAATAAAGGTGATCTCTTGAAAGATCAAGAAGCTTCCTGTATACAAACAATAAACATGCAGAGGACGTTATGGACGAGGAAACGCCATTTACAACAGACGAGTAGATCAGACACCTAGGAATAAATGTAGCAAGACATAGGCAAAACCTATGGGGAAAAGTCTCCAATATAAAACGCTCCCGATGGACACCAAAGCAGACGGAAGAACTGTTCTTAGACAGGAAGTGACTCGACGGGGTAAAGATGTCTGTTCTCCTTAAGCTATTTGTAAATGCAATGAGCACTAGGAACCCCGACAAGCACCCCGAGCCCCACTCTGTTCTGGGGGACGCCAGCGGCTCCACCCACTGCCCTTTCTGTCCCACTGACCTCACACGACCGGCGCGTGCCCGTTGGCGCCCCTTCACCTACACGCGTGAGGCCTGGTACCGACGGGACTCGCCTTTCGGCCCCGCGCGGGCGGCGGGACTGACGGGAGGCGAAGCCTGGCCGCCGGCGGCCCCCGTGCCCGACCCCGCTCCGCTAGGCCGCGGGCCGCGTAAGGCTGCCGCGGGGGCTGGCTCCAGGCGGCCCCGAGGCCCCCGCGGGGCTGGGCTGACTGGACGCTGACGGGAGGCCGAGGCCTGAGGCGTCCACCGCCGGGAGACCGCGGCCCAAGGGACGCGCGGGCCGACCCACAGACCCGCCCCCGACGGGCGGAGCGCCCCGCTCCCGCCCTCCCGCCCACCGTCCCCTAGGCGCCACCTGCTCGAGCCGCCGCGTGGGGACCGCTCCGCGCGCTCGACGCCGGCGCCGGTGGGGAGGCGGCGGGACCCCGGGCCCGGGGGCCGGAGGCCAGCTTCGCGCCGGCCCGGGCAGCCGCTCGCGGCTCCTCGGGGCTGTAGCCGGCCCCGCGCCCGGAGCTCCCGCGGCCCTGAGCCCGGCGGCCGCCCAGCTGCAAGACGCCGCCGCACCGGTGCGAGCCGAAGCGCGTCACGTAGACGAAGCGCGCCAGGTCCCGCTCCTGCTCGCTGCCGGCCGCCGCCATCGCCGCCTTCCTCAGGGCCCCGCGGAACGCCACGTCCAGGGCGCGGGACGCCGTTGGACTGAGGGGAGGGGGGAGCGCGAGGGGGGCGGGCCGCGGTGCACTATGCGGGGGCGGGGGGGGGGGGTGAGCGCCTGAGCGCGATCGCCGGGTAGGCGGTGGGCAGGTGGGGTGCATGAGGAAGGAGGGACACCCGGTGGTCATTCGGGAGACCACCCTTCAGAGGGCGGGGAAGCCGGAAGGGTTTGTTTGCGGGGATGGTGGACCCGTCCATGGTGTTAAAGTTTGGGGACCAGATCACTCGTGGGTGGGGAGCAGACCGTGGGGGCACAGCCCTCTGAAGAAATGAGCTGAACCAAGAAGAGGGTGGGGGAAAGGGAGCAGGCCATTGGGGCTCCCCTTCCTTTGGCTGAGTGTGAAAAAGCTTTCAGAGTGAGGAGCCGACCCTGGATTTGACCAATCTGGAGTGTCAGTCAATGGGGGCGTGGGGGGAGGGGAGGGGAAACAGCACCCTTTGCTGCCACAGGGTTCCAGTGAGACCCTGGCCTGGCTTATGTTGTCCTCGGCCAAGGGCCTGAAGTCGGCGGTTTACTCGTGCCGATTTAAGGCCCATCGCGGTTCTGCTGCACCCCAGCCGGGTTATTTGGGCAAGCTACTTTCCCTCTATAAACTTCCAGTTTCCCCAGATGTAAACTCAGGATGACTTGGGGTGTTGAATCAAATTAAAGCATGTTAAGCATCTGGCACATAGAGATCGTTCCCTTAGACTTAACTTCATTTCACATTTATTAAGTACGTACCCTATGAAGTGCACATGGTAATATCTTTACACTTTTCCTTTACAAATGGTTTTCCCATAGACCACCCTTTTAAATCCATGCTGCAGTTTACAGTGAGGCTCGCAAATGAGTGACTTCCCCCATAGTAACGGGCAGTGACAGAGACCTATTAAAATGATTTTTAGTTGAATTATGAGTATGTGCAGAAAAGTGCACTGATCAGCAGTATACAGATGGAGAAATTTTCACACAGTGAATATATCCATGTAATATCCACCCAGGCAAAGAAATGGTACACTGACTAAGCCCCAGATGTCCTCACCCAGGCCCAACCCCTTTCCCTTCTTTCCCAGTTCAAACCGCATCAATTAGGTTTGCCCCTTGTGTTTGACTTCCTTCACTCAAGCTGTGTTTGTGAGATACAAGTTATTGCATGGGTTTGTACATCATTTGACTCTACCGCCATTTATTCATCTATTCCACTGTTGATGGACATTTGGTTGTTTCCAGTTTGAGGCCATTATTAATTGTGATCTGAGAAACACTAAAAAATACCTTTTGTTGAACATATATCACAAGGTATATACTTCAGTGTGGAATTGCTTAGAGGATTCATAGGTTCAGCTCTAGTAGCTACTGACAAGCAGGTATCTGAAGTGGTTGTACAAATTTTCACTTCCACCAGCAAAGCATGAGAATTCCAGTTGCTCCCCATGTCCAGTTAGTTGGTGTTGTTCATTTCAGCCATTCTGTTGAGTATGTGGATTAGGGCTTTCCAGAGAAACAGAACCAATAAAGATAGGAGTGTATATGTGCGTGGAGAGACAGAGAGCTTTTAAGGAATTGGGTTACAAAAGTATGTAGGCTTGCAAATCCAAAATCTTCAGGATAGGCCAGCAGGCTGGAGACTTGGGGAAGCGTTGATGCTGTGGTTCAGGTCTGAGGACCATCTGCTAGCAGAATTCCCCCTTCTTCAAGAGAAATCGTTATTATCTTTCTGTGAAGGGTAATCGGCTATACTAAGTCTACCCATCTAAATGTTAATCTCACCAAAAAATACCTTTGCAGGTATTTACAGTATCTTACAAAATCTATCAATATTACAGATAGATTTACATATCTACAGTAATGTCTGACCAAATATCTGGGTGCAGAGGCCTAGCCAACAGAGCATATGAAATTAACCAACACAGTGTTGGACTGCTTTCTTGTAATTTGCATTTCCCTGATGACTTAGGAAGTCGAGCTCATTGGCTATTTGGATACCATCTTTTGTGTTTAAATCTCTTATCTATCTTTTCATCCTGTTCTCAATCATTAAAGAGGAGTTTTTTTTAATATGTTCTGTATATTATTTATTCATCAGTTATATATATTGCAATTTCTTTCTCACTTTGCGACTCGCCTTTTTATTCTACGAACTCAATAAATAAAACTTTTTAACTTTAGGCCAATATATCAATATTTTTCTTTAGAATTATAGTTTTTGTGTTTGATTTAATAAATCTTTGCCTATCCCAAAATATTATTTGCTATCTTCTAGAAGCTTTATTGTGTACTCTTCACCTTTAAATATTCAATCCATCTGGAATTGATTTTTATGAATAGTATGATCTAGAGATTGAAGAGTAATTATTTGTTTATATGGCTACCTAGTTCGTTTCATCTAAAACCTCCAATATAAGGTGAATACAAATGATTATAGTGAACATCGCTGTCTTATTTCTGATCTCAAAGGAAAGTTTCAGTGTTTTATTATTAAGTATAATAGTCGCTGTAAATTTGGGTTTTTTTTTTAATCATAGTACTTGTCAGATTAAGGAAGTTCCCTTCTATTTTCAGTTTAGTTTGGTGTTAAATTTTATCCAATACTTTGGCTATAGTCTATTGAGATGGTTATACAACTTTACTCCCTTTGTCTGTAAATGTGATGAATTGCATTGATTGAATAGAGGGTTAAACCAACCCTCTATTCAGAGATAGATTCTACTTGCTGTGGCATATTATCATATTATATGATTGAGACACTTCTAAATTTGATTTTTAAATGTTTTCTTTAGACTTTTTACTTCTGTGTTCATGACAGAGAATAGCTTAAAACTTCTTTCTTAAGTATTTGGTAGAATTCATCGATGAAGACACCTAGGCATGAAGTTTTCTTTGTGAGAAGGTCTTGAGCGGTTATAGGATTATTCAGATTTTCTATTTCTTTTTGGGGTCAGTTTAGTAAACTGTGTTCTAGGATTTGTTCATTCTATATTTTAAAACTCAGTAGCAAAAACTGTCCAAATATTCTTTTATTATCTTCTTAATGAATCTAGGAGCATTGCAAGATCCTTCTCATTCCTAATATTGATAATTTATGCAGTGTTTTTTTCTGATTTAGTCTCAACAGTAGGCTGTCAGATTTATTAATCTGTTCCAAGAATTAACTTTGGAGTTTTTCAATTCCCTCTGTTGTTCTCTAATTCTTTTAATAACATCCTGTGATGGATACTTAAATCATTGATGTTAAGCCTTTTTTTTTTTTTTTGTCCTAATGCAGGCACGTAAAACTATACATTTTCCTCTGAGCATAGCTTTAGCTGCATGCCACAAGTTTTGTATTTCATATTTCCATTATTTTATTCAAAATATTTTAATTGTAGTTTCTTAGACACATGGGTTGCCTATAAGTATATTGTTTCATTGCCAAACATTGGGGAGCTTTTCAGTCTTTTTTGTTACTTACTTTTAGCTTAGTTCCATAGGGTCAGTGACTATACCCTGAATGATTTCAGTCCTTTGAAATCTTCTGAAACTTGTTTTAGAATGCAGCCATGGTCTACTTTTGGGAACTAACTGTGAAGTTGGAAAGTATGCATGTTCTATAGTTGTTGGGTCTATTGTTCTACACATGCAGATTCGATCAAATTTATGAAGTATCTTATCTAGGATTCATTTTTTTAAAATATTTATTTCTTTTTGAGAAAGAGACAGAGTGCAAGCAGGGGAGAGGCAGGGAGAGAGGGAAACACAGTATCCGAAGCAGGCTCCAGGCTCTGAGCTGTCAGCACAGAGCCTGACATGGGGCTCAAAGCCATGAACTGTGAAGTCATGACCAGAGCCGAAGTTGGATGTGAAACTGACTGAGCCACCCAGGTGCTCCTTATCTAGGTTTCTTAATGTATCCTTGTTGATTTCTTTTTATCTGTTTTGTACTGTCAGTTAAATTAGGTCAGACTGTTCTATCAGTTGCTGACAGAGATATGCCAAAAATCATCTGCTATAGCTCTGAATTTTTAATTTGTTCTTTCAGTTTTGTCAGTATTTGCTTGTATGACTCTAACTGCTTAGATGCCTCCACATTCAGAATTGTTACATCTTCTGGTAATTTGACCCTTTGATTTTTATGAAGTGTTTCTCTTTATCTCTAATTATGCTTCTTGGCATATATTCTGGGGGTTATTATTTCATGTTACATCTTCATTATTTTACTTTCAGCCTTTCTTCCTTATAATGTCTGTTGTAAGCAGCATATAGCTTTTTTTGGTAATTCTACAATGTATTTTAAACACCACGAGACATTAATATTATTATTGTTTTATATGATCAACATTCATTTTGATTTACTGATTTTTTTAATATATTTACCCTCTCCATTGTGTTTTTA